TCAAGATCGATGAACCAATATGATCATGTGATGATATGAAGTGGATCATATCATTGTTGATCGTGTTGGTGCATGTGTTGCATCGACATTGAAGGAGATGGAATGAAATGCGCAAGGCAAAGGTATAACATAGGGCATTTCATTTCACCGGTCATAGGTGTGTAGAGAAGTTTATGACCGGGTTTAGGATAGATGGCCGTACTATCAAGAGGGGCAAACTTGTTTGCATATCGATCATCTAGTGCCACTCGAGTGATCTAACTTTGCATTGTCGCTAGGATCGAGTGGCGTGGGCAAGTTGAGTGGCTAACATCCTTTGGGAAATGATTGTGAAAATGCTAACACACATACACATGGTGGTGTACACTTGGTGGTGTTGGCACATTTACAAAGGAGGTGGTGTTTGCGAGGGGTGAGATGGGTTTGAGTCCTCTCTCCCTCCCGCCGAAAGCTTGCGGCGGGATTCAACGCTTTCGGGAAAATAGAATGCCTATTTTCTATTGCGCCGATGCAAGTTCTTGTGGTTAGCACATTGGAGCAAGGGTGATGAAGTTAGAAGTGAAAACGAGTTAGTCGCTTGAAGATGTTTGCGCGTCAATCAACCGACCGGACGCTGGATCGAAATGCACCGGACGCCGGCCGGCTACTGCGTCTCGTCAGCCGACGATCGATGACGCAGAAGCTGGAGTGTGACCGGACGCCGGCGCGTCGATCAAAATGTGACCGGACGCGTCCGGCCGAGGTCGGTACCTTACTAGAAAGAACGGACCGGACGGGGGTTCAGCGTTCGGTCGATTAAAAGCTGCTGCGTCGGCGTCAAGTCAAGTGACCGTTGGAACCGGACACGTGGCCGTCTGCGGGCGATCGGACGCTGAGAGGTCCAGCGTCCGGTCAACACGACCGAGCGTCCGGTCGGCCCGACCGTTGCCCGATGAAGGGTAGCGGCTAGTTTAGCCCTTGGGGCTATAAATAGAAGTGGCCCTCGGCCATGGTCTGGGCTGAGCACCTAAGGGGACTTAGTGTCCATGCTTGTGAGTGCTTGGGAGCCCTCCATCACACATATACTTGATAGTGATCATTCGATTGTGTGAGTGAGCGATTCTAGTGCGATTGCATCATGAGGTTGCATCGAGTGGCACTAGGTGGTCGTGTTGCAAGCCGGTGGTGCTTGTTACTCTTGGAGGTTGCCACCTCCTAGACGGCTTGGTGGTGGTCTCCGTCGAAGCCCGCAAGAAGCTTGTGCGACGCTCCGGAGAAGTGCTTGTGAGGGGTATTTGTGCTCGCCCGCGGGAGTCGCGAAGAGCAACTTTAGTAAAACGTGTCATTGAGCTACCCTCACTCAAGGGGTAGGTTCTTGCGGTGCCCGACGTGCGGGCTTAGCGGGTGATGCTAATTAGCCGCCGAACCACCAAGTGAGCGGTCGACACAACGGGGACTAGCGTGTTGGCAAACACGTGAACCTCGAGAGAAAAATCATCGTGTCAACCTTGTTCTTCCCGTTGGAGCTCCCTTGTTACTTAAAGTACTAGTGGCATAGGTTTGTGTGACCTTGCTCCTAGAATTGTTTAGGAGAGCTCTAGCTAGCCCGACACCTTAGTTGCTTTATTAGTATCTTTGCAAGGTGCTAGTGAATATATATAGAGGGGTGTAGTCTTGGCTAGACCGATTGTTTTAATTCCGCATTTATATCGGTTAGCTGACGCGATTAATTTTAGAAAAGACTATTCACCCCCCTCTAGTCCGCCATCTCGACCTTACAGTGTCTCCTTTGTTTAGGAGAGATGATGTTTCTTTTAGGACATCTCTTAAAATTTATAGGTATAGGAGATGAGATAAGAGATCTGCTATAGCTCGGTATAGGAGATTGGATAGGATTTCTGATGGAGATGCTTAGCCTGGCAACCTTTTGTAATAGTGTAATGGAACCATTCACATAGTTAATGTCCCACGCCAAACGTGATAGCACGCTTGAATCGTAATCACGTCATAGTTGTAGAAAAACCTAAGGAAACAACCTAAGCAGGAATTCCAAACTGACCTAGCTCTTTTTGACTGATTTGGTGTGAAAACCTATGAACGCTTCTCGTGAAGAAAAACTTGCACCTAGCTAGGGTTGTTCTAGGGTCAGCAAACCACCTATAGTGTATGTCTATAGACTGTTGAGAAGCTTGCAAAATAGAAAATACAGGGGTTAGAAAAGTTAGGGTTTGAGAGATAAAAAAACTTAATGTATTTTGATTTTTATTGATTGGATATCTTTAATTTGTCTTGTCCTATCATATTTATATAGGATGTGGTGGTCTTATCATATTTGAAATGGTTTACAACTTAAATTCTACAAGTTCCAAATTTCAATTCAGACTAGCCAAAACCGGCCTGATCGGTTTAGCAAACATGCCTGGCCGGCCAGCAGAAAAGCCATAATGGGCTTAATTAGGTTATCAACAAGAACATATCGGGTAGCTCTTTAGAAAGAGTGCGGCAAACTGAGAGGTTTGAATAATTTCTCTTAGTTTAGTTGGTTTATGCACGTGCTTTGGTTTGATTTATCAACTGATATGTAGGGAGTGTTTGGCAGACAGAAACATTTTGGATTCTGGTCTTGAAATCAAGAATTGGTGCCAAACAACTAAACCATATAATTTGGTGAAATCGGTTCGGTTAAATCATTTATCAAGAATTTTGGTTTTGGCGAAATGCTAACCGAAATTGTTGTAAAAAACTGATAACCAACCAAAAATCGGTTTCGATTAAATCGGTTCGGTTAATTGGTTGAATACATATTATATTTTGACAGGAAATAGTGCTAAAGTCTTCACCAAATAGATCACAAAAATTTCAGTTAACAGACTTGTCCGGTTAAATGTCTGGTTCGGTTCGATTAATTGGTTTTGGTGAAATTTTGTCCACCCCTAATTTCGACTAGAATGCTTCTAGAACGATTCTTATTTGTTGCATCACGTCATTGAATCTACAAAAGACTGGTTTCACATACGAATCACCTCCGTTTCTTTGTCTCGTATGCTAGCAATTGTATTTTTTAGTTATGTGTAATCCTTTTTAGTGCAACAAGCTAAACTGGATTGTATTTGTTGTTGTTAGCCCACAAAAAATTCATATGTTTTGAAATACATTTTTATTTTATGATTTTTTAAGATAAACACATCTTTTCACGAATCAGAATCTAGCGTACGAACCAAACAATCTCACGAAGTGATTTTGCATTGATTCATCATATAAGACGGTTTATGAGACAATCTAGGTTCAAGATGTTTTTAAAAGAATATGAATGCCTAGCAAAACTGGACCTGCGAGGGTATGACTGCCCCAGACATTGCATTAAGAAGAAGACTTTCTCGCGCAGGCCTAGAAAACCTCCGAACCTCTACCCCACCCTTACACAGCGGCACCGTCGCCCTGTGAGAACAAGGAGATTTTTTTAACCCCAGCCTGAATTTCGCTCCCACGGGGGAGTCAAACTCAGGACATGAGGAGTGCCGCCGGGACTCTTTGACCAGTTGGACTACGTACCTTTAGAATCTAATGGCCGGCCTGCATAGCAATTTAGGGACCAAATTGAGATGCCCAACCCAGTTCACGTTGATGACATGGCATACCTGCGCGATGCGGCACTGGCCCTGGGTCCATGTTTCACGTACCACCATCCTTCGCAGTTCGCACCCAATCACACACTGGTGCACATGCAACGACTAATTTGCCGGGAGGTCCGTCAGGTCCCTCATCTACATGGCAGTCTGATGCGAAGGGTTAGCTGAAGACGGTAGATGGGCGTGTAGCGTGTTGCAACTGCAAGGGGAAAAGCCACAGCCAGATCGAACCAGTCCACAGCACAGCCGGTGAGGGTCTTTGAGTCCCGTTGCGTTGTCCAATTTCTATTGGCCAAAATGCAGGTATATGTGTGCTTCCGTGCATGGAAGATCTATCGGGTGCATATGCTTTTGTTTTGTGTACCATATACGCTTTGGACTTGTCTCCTCTCTCTGCTCATCTCTCAGAAGTCACCAAGTCGCACCCTAAAGGAAGTCAAATAAAGCAACGGACGCGCATTCACCCTATCTTAAGATATTAGTATGTAAATCCTTGAGATCTTGTAATTACCACGACATAAATCCCTGGCTGCCACGCCGGAGCCGTGTTTGTTGAAAACACGGGTGGACTTCGCATTAGCAAGCACGCGTCTCCATCACATCGCGTCCCTAAACCCAAAAGGAATTAGCGCGTCCCAAAACCCCCACGAACGTGCCCTCGGCTCGTTGATCCCGAATCCCCATTCATCAGCTTTGGTGTGGGCCTTTGGCCCGCCCCCCGCGTCGGCAGCCGTCCACCTCCTCGCTTCCCGCAACGCTCTCCGATCGCGTCCTTGGTTGCTAGGTCGATCGCCGCCGCGCGGGACTGCGCAAGCGGCGGGCGGACCGGCGGACGAGTGCGCTGCGCCGCCGATCGACCCGCCTCATAAGCTTCACGGAGCACGCCGCTGGGAGCAAGCACACGGAGGGAGGGGCCCCTATTTCGCTGGTACGAGCGCAAGAATCCCCTTCTGCGTGCCGTTATGTGTAAAATAAATCTGTGGTCTCGATCGGGGGTTTTCGGGTTCGTCACTCCGAGTCGGTGTGGTTGGCGCCGGTACCAGTGCTGAACATGGGATGCGCTCTGCGTGCGTCCAAATTGGTGTGCGCAAGGAGTGCACACCAAGTATCCGACGGTGTGCCTGAGAGGAGCTATAGCCCGCTCGCTTTGCCCTCATGCCCCTCATAGCTTCAGCTCTTAGTGGTTCTACTTCTAAGTCCTGATTTTGATAACGTAGGACGCGTTTATGCACTTACTGTTTGTTTTGAACATTTAATATTATTAGCATGTGTGTTATGACCTTCTCATTCGTTTGATCTGGAGGACCATGCTCACTCCTTCAATTCCTTTGGAACACAGGCCTCGGTTGAGTGTTTATTCAGTTCAATCGAGAGAGAAGCACAGCTACAACAATGTTGGACCACCTGATTTCCATGCTAATCGATGCAGTTGGAGTGTTGCCGGCTAAGGATCTGCAGGTGCAGGTCGAAGAGGCTTTCGGGTTCTCAACTCACTCAGAGACGGTCTGTGTGGTTTGCAAACTGGCAATCCCATCGTTGGCAGCGTCATGGAAACCTGACAGCTGTGACCATGCCATCTGCATTCCCTGCTTCTGGCAATATGCACCTGAGATGGAGGCCACTGATGGGCTGCCTAGGTGTGTAGTGCCTTCTTGTGAATCCTTGTGCAAGCCCGAGACCACTCATCGGGGGATCAGTGTGGGTCATGGCACCTTGATCTCAATCGTGGACCTAAATAGTGGCAAGGGGAAAGAACCGTTGGATGGAATGCTTCAGGAGCTAGGCCAATGCTCTCGTGGTGTGGATCCAATGTTCAGCAGTGACTTCTACTGTGCCATATGCATGGAGACGGTGCATGTCGGAGAGCTCTTCCCCGTACCCGGGTGCACACACCTCTTCTGTGTCAGCTGCATGAGCCAGTACATCGCTGCTAAGGTTGAGGATAACGTGTTCTCCATTGGATGCCCTGAACCTGGTTGCGATGATGGTGGACTGGACCCAGAGGCGTGCCGTGACATGATCTCGTCGCAGCTGTTCCAGAGGTGGGGAGATGCACTCTGTGACTCAGCACTGGGGGCATTCGGGTTCCACTGCCCATTCAAAGACTGCTCGGCACTGCTGGTCAATGAACGTGGCCCTGACGAGGTAGTAATAAGGGAAACCGAGTGCCCACACTGCTCCCGGATGTTTTGTGCACAGTGCAAAGTGGCATGGCACTCCGGCGTAACCTGTGAAGACTTCCAGCAGCTCAGGACTGATGAACAGGGCCGAGATGACCCCCTGCTTACGAAGGTCGTCGTGCATGAGAATAAGTGTCAGAGGTCCCAGCAGCTCAGGAATGATGAACAGGGCCGAGATGACCCGCTGCTTATGAAGGCCGTGCATGAGAATAAGTGGCAGAGGTCCCTCCGGTGTTTGGTAGCTACATGTAAATCTTTGTGGAAGTCAGAGGCAAATCGGATGGTCGATGTGGGTCATAGTCATAGCACCTTGGTCTCAACCGAAGACATGGACAGACAGAAACAGAAAGAAACGTTGGATAATATGCTTCTGGAGCTAGGCCAATGCTGCCCTGGTGGGTATGCGGTTGCCAGCAGTGAATTCTACTGCACCATATGCATGGAGTCAGTGGACGTCAGGGAGCTCTTCCCCGTTTCTGGGTGCACACACCTCTTCTGTGTCAGCTGCGTGAGCCAATACATCACTGCAAAGGTCGAGGATAATGTGTTGTCCATTGGCTGCCCTGAACCGGAATGTAAGGATGGTGCATTGGACCCAGAAGTGTGCCGCGACTTCATCCCGCTGCAGCTGTTCCAGAGGTGGGGTGCTGCTCTCTGTGACTCGGCGCTAGGTGCATTCAAGTTCTACTGCCCCTTCAACGACTGTTCGGCATTGCTGGTTGACGAACGCCGCCATGGTGAGGCAGCGATAACACAAGCTGAGTGCCCACACTGCCGCCGGATGTTCTGTGCACAGTGCAAGGTGGCATGGCACGACGGTATCACCTGCGCAGAGTTCCAGCGGCTTGGCAAGGACGAGCGGAGCAGGAATGACCTGTTGCTGAGGAAGGTCGCGCAGCGGAGCAAGTGGCAGAGGTGCCCCAAGTGCAAAATGTACGTGGAAAGGACCGAGGGCTGCGTGTACATCGTCTGCAGGTACTATATTTTGTTCTTTGCAGGGAAAAAAATACATGTGCAACGAGCACATATGAGTGAGATCCTTTGTTGTTCCAATTTACAGGTGTGGGCATCGCTTCTGCTATCTCTGCGCATCCCCAATGTCACGAGGAAACCATCGTTGCAGTAGTTGCAAGAGGACCTGGTGAATGACCTGAAGCTGCAAAACTCCACGTGTGTGACGTGAGGGAAGTTCTCAAGTCCATATTAATTCCAGTAAATTGCTACTGACTTGGTTAACGTTGGCTCGTGCAATTATTATTTGGCAAATCAGTATCAACGGAGCTCTGTTAGTTAACATAAAATATTTACGATGGAGCATATATAATGCAGGTAGCAGTGTATTATAATGTAAAAAAAATGAAACGTCAGAAACATGGATAATGTAGGTACTTATGAGAGAGCTGATGACTTTCTTATGAAGAATGCGTAAGGTACTACTACTACCTTAGTGAGAACTAGATGTGTTCCTCTTATATTGAATCAGTGAGCATGTGAATGAACTTCATATGAACTTACAATTCCAATAGCTAACTTTTTTATCGATGGATCCCTCTAAATTTACAGCCTGTTCTCTTGGTCGTATTTGGCTTATAAGCCAAGGCTTATCAGCCAACGAACAATATTTTTCTCTCACACCAAACCAGCCAACAGTACTTTCAGCCATGGATTATAAGCCAAACCAGCCCAAACAAACAGGGCGTTGATTTGCATGCACGTATGGTTCTCTTCTGTCATGCCTAAAATGTAGTTCTACTGACTTAGTTGATTATAAAGTTTTCTTCTCGAAAGAGGAGAAGCGGGTGAATATGTACTGTGAAGTTTCTTATCTTCTGCTGCAACTAGCTCCTAAACTTCAGCGGGGCATGTCAAGAAAAGTAACAGGTGCACATGCACATTGACCTCCATGTAAACAGCCTTTATATTGCCGGATTGCCCTGGTTCTATGGCTGAGACATGAAGAGACGTCTGTGCCTAGCAACTTCGTTTAGTCTTAGTACTCTAACCTTATCCAATAGTGACATCTGAACAAACAAGCTGATGACTTTCTTACGCGAAAAGTATCAGGTGCTCAGTAAGTAGAAAACGGCTAGGTCTGTCCCTTTTATGAAATCACCAATATGTAAATGAAATTCCTGTGGATCTCTCAAGTTGGTTTTTTTTGTTTTGTTTTTTGGCATGCATCTGGTTTGATCTGTCAGCCGTCAGCCGATCTTTAAAATTTAATAGCTGGTCATGCATAGAGCTAGAAACCGGTATCCTCCAATTAATTGGCTTAAATATGACAAGCAATGTGAGCCAACGATTTCGGAACTAATGTCACCGGTAAATGTTTCTTGCTGTTTTTACGAAGTTGAGCAGCTATTTTCTTTTGATCGACACTAACTCCGTTGCACAATGCTTTTAGTAGTATCCCTTTCGGCCTGATCATACTAACATTCAATTTAGTTAAAGGTGCAAGGCTTAAGATTTCCCTAAACAAATGGGAAGTGCTGTTCTTCAGTTGCCTAAAACTGGGTTTCAAGTAGACGTGTTCATGGGTCGTTGGACGACACCAGGAACCAGGCTGGTACCAAGCCAAGTGGATTTGTCACGGTGGCCACGTGGCGGGTTGGGCGGTGAGCATAGGGTCGCGGGTTGAATTGAACCCCAATAACCGGAAAACTAGTCTAGGCATCTTGTGTAAGTTTCCAAGTTTGTTCGATAGGAATGAGATACTCCCTCCATACAAAAAAATATATAATTCTATGTTTTGAGAAAAAAATCCTAATTAATCATTTGTTTGTGTAGGACTAGATACTAATTATGCTTTCATAGTGCATAGCAAAAACTATATATCTACAAAACCAAAATGCCTTATAATTCGGAATGGAGTACTTATCAAAACCAGTACAAGATGCCATCTAGATGTGTATTATGGTTTTGCTAAGTATTGCTATCTCTAATCCAAAAGAGTTTTGCACCTAAGTTCCAATCATATCGACTAACCGAGCAAGTGAGACCAAGAAAGGTAAGCATACAACCTAAGGAATTCAAGTAAGTGTGAAAACGTAAATGAGTCAGAGAATGCAAACTCTTGCTATGACGATTTTTTCCAAGATATCGACAAGGTCATGCTCCCCCCTAGTCCTCGTTAGAGCTCCTCACAAGGGTCAAGCTTTTGGTTGGGTAACTTCATAGATAGTTCATGGGCCTTCTCCACACACATGTTGATCTCTGTGTGGCCTTCTCCCACACCGCTCTACAACGTCTTCACTATCGAGCTTCTGACCAAAACACCGCGGGCCTCGTTCCCTTGGTACGCAATCGGTGGCCACACCACAAACGTGATTGGTGACTTGGTGTCACTACTAGAAATATCCACTTCTATGACGAAAATCTTAATGTTGAATCCGAAACCGTCATAAAAGAGCGCTTTTTATGACAAATATTTTCGTTTCTTCATAGATCAGTGGTGACGATCCTGCAACCCTCCCTTTCTATGACGAAATCAGGCATCATCACAAAAAACATCATAGAAGAGTACATGGTTTCGTCACAGATCACTCGCGCGACTCATCTGTGACGATCTTCTTTAAAACTGTGATGAACAGGGCTTCGTCATTGAACTAATTACACATCTGTGACGAACAATATTCGATCTGTAACGAATGGCTTCGTCATAGATCTCCACATGATACTTTCTCCATCCGATGTGTACCTGTGGGACCTGTAGTTACTCATCCATGACGCTTGCAATTCATCATAAAAGTCTCCGCTTGATCATATCTCCATGTGACGTGTACCTATGGGACCTGCAGTTACTCATCCGTGACGCTTGCAATTCATCATAAAAGTCTCCACTCGGTCCTTTCTCCATCTGACGTGTACCTACGAAACCCTTCAGCATCCGACCTATGGGACCCGATGGCTTACGTGCCACGTGTACCTGTGGGACCGTTCTCCATCTCCATCCGACCTGTGGGACTCGACGGCTTGCGTGTCACGTGTACCTGTGAGACCATTCGACCTATGGGACCCGACGGCTCACGTGTCACGTGTACCTGTGGGACCTTTCTCCATCTCCATCAGACCTATGGGACCCGACGGCTTGCGTGTCACTTGTACCTTTTGTGCAGCCGGGGTCTAATAAATTCAAACAAACCTCAAGGAGTCGAACCCGGGACCCGGAGGAAGGAATGCACAGTTTTTACCATTGTGCTAGATGCTTGGTTGTATTGACATGTCTTTGGAGTCATTATAGTATTATATTCTTTGTGTGGATGCCCTACAGGTTGACTGATATTGGATATTTCCCCTTCAAGTGGAAACAAATCTGTGCCTGTTAGACTAGTGATGGCGGCGGCGGCGGAGGATCCCCAGTGTGCTGTGGTGGTTCCGGTGTCCTTTTGGAGGCTAGGCGGTGGGGCTTGCTGGTGGAGCACGGCGACATTGGCGTTTGTGTCTGTTGTGTGCCATAGCAGAGGCGACAGATCTGATCCGCAGGTCTCTTTTCTTGCCCTTTCTTGTTTGGTTCACTATTTTGGTCCTTGCTTGAACATTAGGTATACAAGAAACATTCTAGCGTTGGAAATCTGGTTAGGCCAATGATACGATGATGAAAAGAACTAGGAGGTGGCACTGGTTGGTTTTCTGTTGATGTCTTGGTTTTCTGCATATGTTCAGTTTTGTTACTGTAAATGCCTGTGTGCAACTAGGCCTATTAATTGTTAAGTGCTTGCTTGATTATACCTATATGTCTAGGCAAACAAACAGGGCCATTGCTTCTGCCTTCAAAACTGTTGTAATTGTCTCCTCTTAATCTTTGTCTGTCTCCTAAGCTCTGAGCTCGTATACTAATTGTAAGTGTGATGGATAGACTTGATTTAGCTAGAATTGTAATGGTTACAGCTCCATTAACTGCTACTCTAGTTTGAGTTATATATATCTATGTGGTGCTACTCTAAATTTGTTTGAGGTTGTACCATGAAAATTATTAATGGTTGTTAAAGTTGCACTTTGGTATGAGTTGTGGACTTCACTGTTGGATCTTTGTTGGATTATTTTCCTCTTCAGTGATCTCATTATTGAGCAAGCTCTCATCCTACTGCACACAGATGAAATGGAGGAGGCCCCGAACAAGAGGAACGCATTGGCCAACCTCACAGATGATACCATTGTCGAGATCCTCCACCGCCTCCCTGTCTGCTGCTTGTTCTGCTGCAAATGTGTCTATCGCTCCTGTAACCACCTCATCAAGGACTACAACAACCATAAGGTGCTGCCCCAAACTCTGGCTAGCTTCTTCTATGACACCGACCAAGGCCATCTACGCTACACAGAGTCACCGGTGAACACCCATCCTTGTCCTTCTTGCCCTTCACCTTGGACAATGTAGATGTCTTAGATATCTGCAACGACCTCATCCTATGCTGGTGCCAAGGGACTGATGGATTATACCGCTATATCGTTTGCAATCCGGCAACCAAGAAGTTCAAGGAACTGTCGCCTAGCATTCATTCTGTTGGTGAGGCTCGATTGCGGTCCAATCCGATAGCCTCCTCGCACTTCCATGTGATTGAATATATAGAAGAGGAGTAGGATGATGAGTGCAAGGGTGTGGACATCTACTCATCTAAAATTATAGCATGGATCTGTAAGGAATCTAAATGGGACCGAATACTTGTGTGACAATTGAGAGATCAGAAGAAATGAGATCATCAGAAACTGTGTATCTTAATGGTTGTCTTCACATTATGGGGTACTCGGGGTTTTACCCTCAGATACTTGCTGTGGATATGGAGGAGAGACACGAAGGAAAATTCCTTGCCCGCGTGGTTCTTCACCCTCCATCCATCAAGCTCAGGGTCACTTGTGTGTATGTACTGTTCATGGTCGCAATATGTCCAAACTTTCAATCTAGATCCTTGAAGACTACGTTACTAATAAATGGACATTGAAGCATACTATCAGCATTCTGAAGGTGTTTGCATAGACTAACAATGAATTTAGTTATTACTCGTACTACGATGTTAATGAGTACTACTCAACGGTTCACCCAGAATGGAATTTGTTTCTCTTTGTTGGGGTTAGGGGGAAAATGACATCGTCGCATATAACATGGAGAGCAGAAAAGTTCATATCATACCTACACGCTATTCTGTCGGTT